ACTTGCTTCCCACCTTTCTCATCACAGAAATCCTTGTTCTTAAGCTCTATACAGTGCGATTTACATCCAAAAGAACAATCCTTTGGACTTTGGTGAGTTAATTCAGCTCATTCTACTAAATATTAAAGCACAGAATAATTACCACCACCCTATTTCAAACAAGAACGTATACTACTTCAAAAATCTACTTAAAGCAGGAGGATCAGGAACACAGGAAAACAAATAGTACAAGAAAGTTAATACTTGTATACATAGATCATACATATAACAATGTATATGGTTTCGAAACACAAAGATGCCAATGCTTCAACATAACCAACATGGTAACGAAACAAGCGAATTGACAGCCATGTAAAAACAAGAAAACAAAACTCACATTAATAAGCAAACAAACAGTTTCGACCTAAAGGAAGTGATCTGCAAGAATAGGTTTCCTTAAAATCAGATTTCCTAGAAGAGGTAAAAAGAGAAGCATAAACTTTCTTATCAGCATTAGGGGGTGCAATATCAACAGCCTTGAATCTCTTAGCTGAACCATTTTTAGTAGCAGCAGCACCAGCAACAGCATTAGGAAGCTTGGCATTGACCTCGGCCTTCGAATTAACAACATCAATCCCATGCTTCTTCCCACTCAATCGAACATCATCACTAGTTACAACATTAACACCCTCATCACCTCCCCCGGAAACATCAACCGAGTTTAATTGTTTCGATTTTGACTTCTTAACCTTACTCGCCGCCTTCTTCTCCCTCTCCTTATCCTTCATCTCAATCATCTTCTTCCTAAGAACATCAACCTCCTCATCAGTCCCATTAATAACAATCTTATCGTCTACCTCGAATTCCTCATGACATACAATACAAACAGAAGATTTAATCTCTTTGAGTGCCTTTGCACTAATAACATGACCACACTTACTCAAAGCATAAAATCTGTAATTCCCATTGAATTCAAACCCAGAAATTGGGCACTGAAAACGTGATCCTTCTACTTTATCACCTTCAACAGAAGACAATTGAATTGGAATCAAATCCTTCAAACCCTTAATATACAACGAAAAGGGTTTCGGCAAACTCTTAGCTAGCAACCCCTGAACAAGAGCTTCCTTGTTGAATACGTTACCGAGGCGGTCGATAACACACGGCGGCTTCAATGGCTCGAAGGAAAGCGCGCAAGTTGTCCACTTCGAAAGCCGCTTCTCGTTAGGGTCCACTTTTTCCGGCTTCTTCTCGGCGTACATCTTCAAGTAGCAATCTCTTGATTCTGCGCAAGTTGAGCCGCCATCTCCGCCGCCGCCAAGGAGCTTAAAGTGGAGATTAATGGTGGAGTTTGCGGCGATGCCGGAAGAGCTAATGGTGGAGGATTCGTCGAGCTTTTTGCCATTGACAGACAAGAATCTGAGCTCAGAGGAAGAAGATGATGATGTTGATGATGAATTGGAGAATGGAAGAGATTTTTTGAGATCAGCCCATGTTTGATTGGGATTTAGGGTTAGGGCACGAATTGGGAATTGGAGATCGGGTGATCGGATGAAAACCTGCAATTGTTGGAGTTTGCTGCATTACATTTGATGATTTGATTGCCGAAATTGGGAAATTTCAACTCCAATTAAGATGAAAAAACCCTAATTGGAAAGATACAGATGAGAGAGAATTGAAGCGACCCAGAAAGTTTTGAGTTACGAAGACGATAAGATGGTCCAGTTTTGATATTTTCGGTTTTACCCCGTATTATTATTGTGGAAGAACCGAAGGAGAGAGGCGGTTATTATTATTATTATTATTATTATTATTATTTTTTTCCTTTGATAGAGAGGCGGTTAACATTATTACTCGTAACTAGGTTAGGTCCCGTGTCATGCACGATTATTGACAAAAAAAATTATGTACGTATATACTTATTAGTTGTCATATATTGTAATATCTCGTTTTTAATCATTAAATTTTGTCTATCTCAATCGTATCCTTGAAACGAATATTATGTTTGCCACATAAAAACTTATAGTAGAAGATTTTTTAAAAAATATTTACAAAGATTATATTTTGCTATTCTATTTTCCATATTAATTAGTTAATTTAATGTAAATATCATTTTATTTATATAGTAATTAAATTTTACAAATAATTTCCTTAAATAAATTTTCTATTAAATATTTTTTTTAAAAAAATACTAAGGACACACCAGAAATTGACATGTGTCATTGCTGATGTGTCTTTTAGTATATCGTTATTGATTATTGATTAATATTAAGAAACCTCCTTACAAGGAGAATTCCTAACCTATTAGAACAAAGAATACGAAATAGGCTAGAGCTATTACAAAGTACAATTTACAAACATCACAATCCAAATTATTAGACACTAAATGACCTACATTAAAGATTCAATTTGCTGCTTGATTTGCCTCTTGATATTAAATACTCCAATGAAATTAAGTGAGGAGAGAGGAAGTGTCTTTGATAATATGCTTGATTTGTCAAGGGATTGACCAAATGCCTTTTATTGAGTTGATGACTAATAGATTATCATCTTCAATTTGAACGTTCTGAATGCTACACTGAAAAGGTAGTTGGACTCCTTTATTAAGAATTATAACTTCAACTATAATTACTTTGTATAATGTTCTATTAATACAAGAACAGGGCAAAGCAACTAATGAGAATCGAATTGAGAGGGATTTTTAACTAACTAAGCAATCCTACCTCCTTTTACTATGGTAACAATATGATTTTTCATTATATAAGTGTAATGTAATTGTCAAATTGAGCAAGAATACAACATACTAGTTGGAAGCTTTGAGTAACATGCATCAAAAACCTCTAACCAACTAGCCAAGGAAAGTTTTAAAGAACATGCAAGTATCAATTATTATGTTTGTTAATAGATTAGATAGAATTTTATTTTGATATAAATTGTTGAGATATATGCCAACAACTTTGTCTCAAAGTTTGAAATTTTTTGTAATTACATTAGAATGGAATATGATGGAAATCAATAGCAAAGTGAGCATCTAGAGACTAGAGTACTTGAAATCACATGGCAAGGTAGGCTATTACATTCGATGGTAATTTTGAGCTTTTGAAACGGTGTTTCACTAAATTAATTTTTAGATTATGGACAAATGTTAACAATAGCCATCAATTTAGCTCTACAATATATAACTTCCTAAAATTATTTTCATATTGCAAATTTGTAATAGTTATTTTTGTAACAAACACTTAAATCATACACAACAATATTGAAAACTACATCTAAAAATTCATTATTAGTACCCTCATAGTCTACAATAATGTCAATGTCTAAAAAACTAACCGCTACTACAACAATTAATTTTGCCGAACATGCTCTTAAAAGTATATTTTTTAAATATGCAATTACTCAAGAATTTAAAATCAATCAAATCAGTCTTTGATATAGAAACTACAACGAAAAGATACAAATAATTTCCTAAACTTGTTACTATAACTTGTGAAATTTCCGACTTAGAACCAATTTCTCTGAAGTTTCAAAAGCAATATTCTCTATTTCTTCTTATCTTTGGCAACCTTAAAATACTCCTCCAACCCCTAACCCCAAATGCCTACACACATTTAGACTTAACATTTTTTCCTCCCCCCCCCCCCCCCCCCCCTCTCTCTCTCTCTCTCTCTACGCCATGGCAACACCCGCCGCTGCCGCCGCTTCTGCCGCCGCAACCACCCCAATATTCATCTCAATCACCACCCTCCGCTCAATCCTGACCCACAAAACATTAGTCAGCCACTTCCAAACCACCCTCCCAAACGCCTCTCTTTCTCTCTCTACCCCACCTCGCCATTCTCTCTCTACCTCCCCAAATTCCACTCTTCTCCTCATGCCCTCTTTCTCAACCTCTTCTTCTCTCCCTTACATTGGGGTCAAACTTGTAACTTCACACCCTCAAAACTCTTCCCTCAATTTACCCGGAATCCATGCTTGCTACACCCTTTTCAGCTCCCTAACAGGCCAAACCCTAGCTCTATTTGATGCTACTGAGCTAACCCTTTACAGAACTTCCTCAATTTCAGCCTTAGCCTCTTCTTATTTGTCAAGAAATGATGCCCATGTTCTTGTTATGGTTGGTTCTGGTAATTTATCACCCCATTTGATCACTGCCCATTTGGGTGTTAGGCCTAGCATCAAGAGGGTGATAATTTGGAATCGAACGCCCGAGAAGGCGGCCGCATTGGCAGATAGGTTGAGGGGGGAGAATGGGTTTGATGGGGTGAGTTTTGAGAGTAATGGGTGCTTGGAGGAGGTGGTTGGGTTGGGTGATATTGTGAGTTGCGCCACAAATTCGGAGAGAGAGTTGGTGAGAGGGTTGGAGTTGAAGGAAGGAGCTCATCTTGATCTTGTTGGGTCGTTTAAGCCAACAATGAAGGAGTGCGACGACGAGGCGATAAGGAGGGGGAGAGTGTTTGTTGACAATGAGGTTGCATTAGAGGAAGCTGGGGAACTGGTGGGTGCTTTTGAGAGAGGGGTGATAACTAGGGATGATATTTGTGGGACTTTGGTGGAATTGATTAAAGGTGATAAGCTTGGGAGAAAAAATGACAAGGAGATTACTGTGTTTAAATCTGTTGGTTCTGGTGTGGTTGATGTTCTGACTGCTCAGCTGGTTTATGAAACTGTCAAAACAGATCAAATTTCCCAGCAATAATTGGTTTATGATGATGCTATATTGTACTAATGAATCTTAGAGAAGAATAATGTACCTGCTTTTATGCAGTTAGTAGAGACTAGCAGTATGACTCATGTATCAAATACAACCTTGTAAAAATGATGGAAGAATAAAGGTTGATTCAGAATGAAATATATGAAACTAGCAGTAAAAGTTTTTGTAGTTTTTTGTACTTGAAAATCTAGTGCATGCAAAATGCATAATCTTCTTGAACTTGAAATAATCTTTCAACAATTTATTTCATATTATACATCAAACAGGAGTACATCACAGCATTTGATTACAGATCAGGGAAAACTTACTGCAATACATCGCATACCAGAGGTTTTTTTTTTTTTTGGTGAAAAGGAGCAGCAGATATATTACGGCCTAAAAGGCTCGAAACTGAAAGTTAAATAATTACAGAACATAGGATATACTATTAGACTAATGTTCTGCTACTTGAGGTCTCCTAGATGCTAACTATACAAGAATAAGGGACATCTAAAAATCTGCAAAAGCTTCAACTTCAATTATACGAGGACATTTTGGCTATGCAGCTCCTTTGTTGCACTATGAAGCCACTGCCGCAGTTTAGTCACACATTTCCTTCAGGGTCGTTTTTGGAATGAGTTTCGATTCCATCTATTTTTTTTGTTTGGTTGAGCTTTTTTAAGTATGGGATTGCATACCCAAGGGGTTTCTAACTGACTAACTCTACCCTATACCTATGGAATCTCATACCCACCTCTCCCCTTAATATTCTCAATCCATTCTATTAATGAGGCATATAGTTCATTTCAACATTTAAACCAAACAAATTTAGACTATTATGGGTTTTAGAATCCATAACTCTCTAGTATGAAATTCCATACCAGTTCATACCAATTTAATGAACCAAACACCCCCTTAATTAGTTTTAGAAGATAGGGGAATTCAGGATATTTTCTAAAGGACTGTGCCAGACAGCCAGATAACTCTTCTCCAGAAACTCAGACAACTATTCTCCAGAAACTACAATGTGAGGAACTTCATTACTCCATCCACCCCAAATTTGCCTTCACAAATTCTATCTTGGGGTATTTTAATTTTTCTTCACAGTTCCTAGTTAATTTTCCCATTTCTCTCTCCATCCCAATAATCTTTCATTCTCTTTCTCAACTTTTTTTGTTCTACTTTTAACCATAATTCTTTAACTTCATACAATCCTGCGATTAAAAATGAGTTTAGGACCGAAGGAGTAATAATTACCTTATTATCTGAGGAATCTCCAGGAACTCACACCAACAGTGAGCACTGGGCACTAGTAGTCTTTGCAATAGGACAGGCATGTTAATATCTAGAAATGCAACAGATTATCATGTCTTTAACAGTGGCAGTTTAATTCAGCCTGAGATGCAGTCCTCTCAACTTCCATCCACCATCCCTCGTCATCTTCATTATCATTATCCTTCAATATATACAAACAGGAGACTGAACCAACCAGAGAAAGAAAGTTCGCAAAAGCAACCAAATGTTACAAAGGCACAGATAAACTAACCGTGGTACTGATAAATAAATCTCCCATAGTTTCAACATTGTCAGCAGCTTTCACTGCTTCAAGCCACCAACTTTCATCATTATCTCCGTCTATCATGCTTTCATGACCACCAAGTAACATGTGCTCCTTATTATTATCAGAGCCATCAATAACTCCTGTGTTTTCTAAACTGGAAACTTCAGGGATTAAATCAAGTGGAATGGGACGGGAGGGCGATCGATATCCTGATCCAAACAGAAATTTATCGAGAAGTGATTGCAGGGTTTAACTCATAAGTTTTCAAATGCAATGGGACAAACCTTGGCAATCAGGATCATAACACTTCTGATAGTAAAGAGCCCACTGTAGGTCAGCCACATACATAACTAGAGGACAAACAAAAGTTAGTACATCATGTGGACTTGGATAATAAGCAGGATTCGTGAATTCATATTTTCGAGTGTAAAAAGTGAGATAGGACAATGCAACATACCATGATTGCTTTTGTGTTCTCGACCAATCCTTCCACAGTATCTGCTCTTTGACATACTGTAGACCAACAAACTGTACTCAGAAAACCAATACCAGCTTCGGATCTTTCCTGGAATTTGGAGGGAGTCATCATAGTCAACAATCAAAATTTTAATCAATCAACCAGTGAAATGGATGAAGGAAACCTTTAGAAATCTACAAAACCATTACAATGCAAAAAGAAAAGGCTGAAGGGGCTGCAAGTCGAACTAATTTGGAGGGAGTCATCATAGTCAACAATCAAAATTTTAATCAATCAACCAGTGAAATGGATGAAGGAAACCTTTAGAAATCTACAAAACCATTACAATGCAAAAAGAAAAGGCTGAAGGGGCTGCAAGTCGAACTAATTAGGCTTATGTAAGCTCAAACTTACGGTATCAACTGTTTTCATGAAGACTAGTACACCAAAATAAGATGCTCCAATCAACATGTATCGAGCTACCTAAACATAATATTTTCTTTAGCTGTCTTTTCTCTTGTAATATAAAAACTCTGTTCAGTAAGAGTGAATAAATTTGGAAGATACTAGTGGAAAGACATTTCTTGCAGTTCCCCAGGATTACAACTATTGAAAAATTTTCTGTGAAGAAAAAAATTTACTGACAAAACCAGGCAATTACAGATTACAACTTTGGAGATTGGTTTTTGGCCACAAAATGTGAACTATACTACACTATTGGATGAAAGAAAGTTCGCAAAAAGGACTAGTTGAACTAACTTAAAGTCTTGAAGGATTATAGATTGCAAAAGTACAGAAGAAAAATCACGAGATGCCCTTTCAAATGCTGATTAAATTAACTAAATTTCCCAAGAAACCAATATAAAAATCTGAGATTGCACTTCACCAAGTCAATCCTGAAAAAACAGCTCTTAAATATTATACATACCAGTCACTGCTCCAAAAGAAGCAACAGATTCTATGAATGCATCCAGGGCAGGAAATGGAGAAGCTCCCATTAGGTAAGTTCTCGAGGCATCATTTCTACAAGCATTAGATGTGAATTCTTGAAGCGCACTCAAAGGTCTCCTACTAGTAATATTAACCTGCATAAGTCAAGCAATACATCATTACGCAATCAAAGAAGAAAACAAATATTTTGAAGCATCAAAAAATAAAACAATGAAGGTTAGAATGACATAGAGCAACATGATGTCATGACTTTAAGGCTATGAAAGAGTCCTCAAGATCCCTCAAAGGAAAAGGAAAAAAAAAAACATCCAACAAAGATATATCTTAAAATATACGCAGTATAATGGAATTTGTAAGAAAAAAAAATAAAGAGTTTACTTGACAAGTTGATAGCATCAATATGGTTGGTAAAAGAGAGTAAACCATTAAAACTAAGCTAAATATTACCTCGGTATCAAACTGCAGAGTTTTGATACAGTCCAACTCCATTTTACACACTAAAAGCTTTTCACAGTCATCATCTATATTGCAGATCAAAGATGCCATGAAAACGTCTTCTTCACACTGTAAACCACACACTGCATGTTTAGATAAAATTACAAAAAAGCCTTCTTGGAATAATACAACTAATAATAATGAATACATGAATGGGCACATAAGCAGCATGGATCAATTTTTCCAGCTCATCAATAAATGTAAATAGCAATAATTGCTTAGGCTAAACAAAAAACTTCCAATTAGGACAAAGATACAAAAAGGTTTCATACCATGCCCTTACACTTGAATCGTCCAGTAGGCAGAAGCAAAGAAGTCTTTCCGGCTTTTGATGATAGAGCTAAGCGGAAACAACGATTTCTTGAATATACAGCATTATCCACAAATAGTTGCATTGAGGGTCCTGCAGAGCTAGAATCTTTTAAAATAAAGAGTTGGTGAAATCTCTCATCCTTCTCCTTCGCTTTATGAATTCTTGAGAACAACTGATATTGACAGAAAAAGGTGGATGATGATTAGACAGATACACAATACAAGAGAGGACATGGTGTGCAGATATTAAAATTGCACAAAAGTCTTTACAGGTTTCACATGGTCAAATCTTAAAGTAAAGATGTAACAAATAGATGTAAGATGGATTATACTATGTTCAACTGCTCTGACATATTTCTAATGCTCCCACATATATTTTATCCCTTTTTATTTTATATTTAAATAGGATCATTAACAGAAATAACTATCAAGTAGCCATACCTCGGAAACAAAAGCACCAGCATGAGAATTATCCTTGAACGCAGCCTTCGGAATACGTAGCACCAAATGGCGAGAGAATTTTGCTGCCATGTAACCAATAAACATATTTATAAGACTTTCAAAACAAGATTAATAAAACAAATCATAAATCAAATTGCATCACTGCATGAACCAATGATGTATCGGATTGAACAGACCACACTTGGCTGTTTTTGAAGACTTTTGGAAATTGGAGATATAAAGAAACAAAATCCATCTTTGTCCAAACAAATATGATAATATACTCTCTTACCAGCAAGTAATGAAAAGGTACAAAGGCCAAAGATGAAACATTAGAAAAATCGGTTATGAATATGAAGTTTATGTATTCAAATATTCAAATCACTCACCTAAATCACAGCCCTACCTTCAGTGGAGGAATCGAGTTCTACAACCCAATCTTCTTCTCCTTGTATATGATATTTCTCATGTAATGCCTCAAATATGACCAGCAAAAGAAGATCGACCATTTGATTACCATCTCTATTTGTATTCTCCAATCTATTGAACTCTAGATCAAAGTATAGATGACAAGGAAAGCCCTGGAAATAGAAAATAGCCCAACAAGATTAGATTTTGCCTCAAACAAGAAGTAACAAGTTTGAATAAGGACATAATGTAAAGTTATATTCCTGTTCATATGCCTCCACCCTTTGGGAAGTTGTTGCTTTGTTTTAATATCCAACTCATTGTAACAAGATTTAGCATGATTTTGAATAATAACCTTTCTGATAGTTTCGTACTTACTATACTCTCTTCCTCATTCGTCCTAATATAGTATCTGTATCACATTTTTTATGATCCTGTTTGAATCTTCCCACATTCTTGAAAAAAATATTTAATTGAAATTTAAAATCAAGATTTGATAACCTGAATATTGTGTTGGATAAATGCTTTTTTCTAATCAACAAAGGACTTGGGCCAGCACAAGGAGAAGGCATGTTGTCCAAAGTTTAATTTTATCAAACAGCTCACTTTTACAAAAGCAAGGTTGAGGAGCTAAATAACAAATAATAACTCAGGTGCAAAAAGAATACAGATAGGGATGGAGAAGTTTATCTACTCAAAACATAAAGGCCTCTTCCTGATGGCATACAAGTGTTAAAGTATACATGGATGATCAGCAAGTACTTTATAGGAATTAGCACAAAGGGAAATGAATTGCAAGCAGTACAAATTTAGCTCAACAACCCAACAAATAATCTTGAATAATTCGAATCATAGTATAAAACCATGAAAGAAGCAATTGAACAGTCCTTGCACAGGATATTAAACAACAGATACTCACATCTTGGATCACCTCATAATGATGACGGGACTTTGAGTCCATATTCTTGTACCTATATAATGATGCAGGATCAACTTTCAGTAAGTAAGAAACACAAGCCAGCAAAAAGACAACTAAAATGTTGAAGATAATTTGTGGTGACAAGTAACCTTCTCCAAAACTCTTGATAGGTAGAAACAAGGAATCTTCTTTGACCACTGAAATGATCTTGGTAGCTGAATATGCGAACATTGGCTTGTTCTTTTGCAAATTTTATAGCATCATCCTGCTTTGGAAATGTAGCCCATATTTGCTTCCTGACCAAACATTTAAACATGATTGTCAAGAGACACAAGACAGATACAGTAGAGTGTATGTAAACAACTAGAAACGTGATCAACTCCTCATATGAATGTAAATGATAGTACAAAAAGCCAAAGCATTATACCTTAAGTTGGATTTACGTCTTTCAGATAAATCAAGGTGTATTTCACGCAATACTCGGAGTAAACTGGATGGCCTCTTAGGAGGCACTCCATGTGGCGATCCATAGAACACACCCGGAGAAAGCTGCCTACCAGCAATGAGTTTGTTTGTTTTATTTGTCACTGACACACCCTGTGATATTAAGTGCAGAAAACTAAGCTGCAATGCATCATAAATACAAATAAACTAAAAGATATGAATAATATGCATCAAAAGACAAGGGAAACGAAGAAGATACAGATTCACTATTACTTTTTTCTTTTCTAATAATTCAGAAGAAAAAAGCCAGTAACATAGATATATAATAGATAGAGGATACGGAAATTGCATATCTGATAATTTTTACACTTGTGAAGGTTCATCCTTTAACAAGATGTTCGGACAGAAACGAGCATGAAAGTTTAATAATCAAATTTCAGCAATGGGGGTAATAAGCCCACCAAAAAGAATGAGTTGCTAAGAGCACATGACATACACTTTCTGATTTCCCACATACATCCACAGTTTTCTTCTCGCCTTGTCTTGCTGAACTTGGTGAGTCGGTGCCCTTCACACTTGAATTCTCTGGCTTCAGTCTACTCACACTTGTTTTTCTCTCTCTAATAGCAGATTCTGTACACAACATTTGTTATTTTGATGGAAGAAACCAATATAGAGTTTATAAAATACCATAACCATTAAACTATCAATAACATGTATGGAATGTTATGCCCAATATCCCAACTAAAATAGTAAATTGGGCATCTCATTTCATCCTAAACTACTTCAAATGCCTGAAAATTTTCAGAAGAAACCAAAAGAGCCCACAATCAATCATTAAACTCCTTCGTAGTTACTAATTCGGACGAGACCTATACATGAAAAGATAAATTAACTTAACAGACTTGCTTACTAAAATTGGCACAGAAATTTGAGATTGCCATTAATTAAGTGAATTAGTAAAATCTAAAAAAGCTATGGCAAATTCATGACTAAATCGGACAATACATCCACCCAAGAACTCGCAACAGCATCACAAAATTAGGTTTTCACCTTGATATCCTGGAAAAATTAGATGATTTCTCAAGATCAATACCTAACTTAATTACACAATAAATTTCTTAATTAAACTATTGGATCATTTTCAAACCCTAATAAATATATCCAAACAAATCCGAACCCTAGAAGAGCAATTAGCAGTAATGACGAACTAATTAATACTATAATTAGGAAGAATTGAAGATCAATTACAGCTAAATGGTGATAATAAGCACTAAATCAAAAATTAAAATTTATGAGTAAGTAAAAATGGAGATCAAATTGAGCTTACTAATGACGAATTGCAGTGAAGAGAGATTTACCAGGAGGAGTAACGCCACATTTGAAGCATTCGAACAGACGATCGACATCATCCATGACGATTTTCTGCTACTCGTATTTTTGAAGAAGCTATCTTCCTCGGCAATTTTCGCTACTCTTTTCAATTTCGCGGGATTCTGATATAAAGTGCAAATGGAATATGTTTTCATCTTTTAGCGGGAAACCACTCATTTTCAAATGCAAACATTTTTTATATGCCGTTTTTGTAAAACGGGGAAAATACAAGTTGATCTTCACGATAAATAACAGTATCTAGTAGCAATATCGCAAATGAGTGCATATGATATTTACTTTTTATGAATAAAACCGCTATTTGAAGTAGCAATTTTGGACTAAAACCGCTACTCAAATACCGTTTTTAGTGTGTTTTGGTGCAAAATTTGCTTATTATATTACGATTTTACTCCTATATAAATATCAATCGTTTATCAAAAGGATCAATGGGGACCCTCAAGTAAAAAGGTGACTTTTATGTTACGAGTACTATGGTTGTTACGATTTAATTATGATAAAAGCATGTAATCTTTCTCAAAATTCAATACAAGTAACAATGTCAATTTGTCAAATAACTTGGAGACATATCACATACGACTATACAAGCACTAGACCTATTAATTACCATCAAACAACCAAGGGCGTTAATTAGTTGTACATTACAAGGTACAACCAATTGTAAAGTAAAAATTGCTAGATTTTCCCATTAAAATGAATGCAATTGCCAAATTATAAAGATCCATACTCCATTACCCAATAAATTTCGATTATCTCAACTAAATTCCATCATTCCAATATCTCAAAACAAAATTTATATGCAATAATTAGAGATATCAAACATACTTAGGGTTTGTTCACATTTACTGAACAGAGCTTAACTAAACTGAACTGATTTGAGCTGAGCTGAAATGAATATTTTATGAGAGAAAGAAATTAAGAGTTGACTGAACTGAATTGGTTGGAGCTGAACTGAAATTAAGCTGAAGAGAGCAAACCCTAAACATATCACTCTGTTTGCAGGCTAAATTTTTCTTAGCTTGCATTTTGCAACAAAAAATCCTTTTGATATACTGTGATAATTATGATGGGAAAAAGTAGTTTTGGATGAATAATTGGCGTTCTGTGTTTCTGACATGAGTGTGCATTGTACATGTCATATTGTCATGTACATAACTTGATACAAAACCAAAGGTGAACAACACCATTTCTCCTCTAGATGCTTACACATAGCATAGTTCAAGATCTTATTAACATGTATAGGAATCATAAATGAAAGATACAAAGTACAGTATTTCGCCTCTTCTCACGAACTGACTCGATTGAGAGGGGCGCAGGGGTATAATCAGTAATCACATTGTTGAAGCATGAATCTCGTCATCAGTCTTTTTTGCACCTTTTTTAAGCCTGTTGTGGCTTCCCTGACCCTGAGCAACACCACACAAGGAAATTAAACTTCTATGCTAAGCTTACAATTTTACAACTCTGAGATAGGAATATGTTTTTATCAGGAAGGGAAAAATTTATTTGGATGTTAACATGGTTTAAATCAACTTTGAGATAGGAATCATAGAGCTCTAGTGCCCCTAGAGGTTCTAAAACCACATATCCTTAACAGGAAGCAGATCATCAAAACCTTTTCTCTAAATCGGATCAAAAAACATTAAAAATACAGTTGAAGTTACAGAGATGATTCACAAATAAATGCAAAGCTAAGCTAACAAGAAAAAATGGGGAGGAGGAAGGGAAACAATATACTTACAACATTCTTTTGGCTAGCTAACCTCCGAAGAGATGGAGCACGTGCAACCAAAGAAGCAGCTGTAACTGCAGCAACACGTATTCTGCATGAAGTGAGTAAAATTGTCAGTGCCAGTCTTTATCGCCAAATCAGTCACCTGCAACTGAGCTTGGTATTGTCAATGAAACAATGGCCGATACCTCTTATGAACATCAACATATTCATCTGTTTCATCTACAATCTCCTCCTGTATTTCCAAAGAGCACATGAAGAGAGTGAATATGATAGCTTCGGTGTAGAAAGAGGGAATTTTAAGAAATAAATAAAATAAGGGATAAGATCAAAGAACAATCTTTGCATAAAGCAGAAATTCAAGGGAGTATGTTAAACGTTATAGTTAACACACTCTATTGCATGAGCTAAAGTCTGTTTATCTAAGAAAAAGACAGCGGTCTGGGTTACTTGGGTAAATCAGTATATATTTGCCTCCACATCTCAAAATCCAATACCCATTTTAGACAAATGGTTACACCATGTGTACACTTAGGGACAAAATTAATCAGCCGGCTATTAGCTCTAGGGGGGTGTGCTGCTGGTTCTATATACTACTCCAAAATTGGCTTCAGAATTGCTAGTTTGCTACACAATAGGTATTGAGAACCATAGGAAAAAGGGGTGTGTGTGTGGTAGGGGGGGGGGGGGGGGGAGGGGGAATGATCCACACCAAGATTGATTTCCACATAAGAACAAATTAAACATAATGTCCTAAATGTTTGTTTCATGTAGCTGGGCCTAACAGTACATCCTTAGCCCCTAGGTATGGCTGGTCTTCCATCAAGGAGCCCCCTTCTTGGACAAAATGCTTCCAAAAAGTAGGAATTGGTGCACTTCCTGTTTCTGATATACTTTCATGTAGCCTAACTTCCTCATTACCAAGCAAGGCTTGGTGCAGTTGGTTGGGGATTCACCTTGCAACCTAGAGGTCACGAGATTGAATCCTTCCCTCCCCCCCCCCCCAGCTGCAAGTGCTTTTACCTTTGCCCCTCACTTTCAAGTGCTTGGCTCGCAAAGACCAGACTAAGAAACCATGATTGTTGAGGTTTAGTTAGGGTCCTCTTTAACATTAATATAAAATATTAAAAAAAAAATCCAAAAAGAACAATATAAAGTTATACTGTATAATATTTCGTAAATACCTACCTGCAAAATCTCTTCAAAAACATCTTCAAGGGTAATAATGCCAATAACTTCTCCCTCCCTAGAAATTTCTACTGAATTTCGAGAAGAGTTAGGTAATGCATAATCCTGCTGTGAATTATGCTCGTTCTTGTTTCTTGTTTTAGGGATTATTTCAATGTCCACAATACTCTCAGAGTTGTCACTTTGCTTGGACAATAAAGGAGTAGCTAAATCGCACTTGTCATTAGTGACATTTGACCGCTTAGGTTTTTCATCAATGATACGCAAATTATGAAAACTCTTTGCCCTTCCCTTCACCACAGCTGCCATATGACTCTGACCTTTCTGAAATTCATTCAATATATCATACAAAGGCATGTCTGCTGGTACCCTGGAAAACATGTAGGAATATTACTCCATTAATGATTCATGGACTAGGAGTACAATATATATAGATTCTAGACCATACCTTGGAATATTTCGAATGGAAACTGCACTTACAGGAGTATCTGTTTCGGGTCGTACTGTTAATAGACTTTTAGTCTGAGGATTGAAGAAGAGCTTAATCAAATTCCTTTTAAAGGCCAGTTATAGAGCATAAGAAGCATTACATCTAAAATAAAAATTAAAACAACTTCGGGGACTTGATACGCTTATCATACAAAATACTTTCCATTTTAAGATGCCCCTCCATCATATAATGAACTTCAGATATTTCAAATGATTGTCCCCCAAAAGGTCACATTTCCTTTTTACACTAATCCCCATTTTTATACATTCAACAACATTCTTAATGTCTATGCCAACAGTAAGTGTGAAGTTCATTTTGGGATAAAGGGAATTCAAAAGCTCAAAACTAAGACTTTTTGACACCCACCAATAGCATTCCTATGAAGTTTTTTGGATTTCCAGAATAAACAGGTACACGACTATGGCCACGAGCTTGTATTTTTCCCATTGTTTCCCTACAAAATGAAATTGTGGCCAAATCAACAAACAAGCAAAGCAGCATCTCTACAATTTTTCTTAAAGAGGGGGAAAGTAGCAGATTGCAGAATATTCATCTCCCAATAAATTCAATAAAGAGGAGATACTGGCAGATCCCACATTCCCACCTCAAACGAGAAACAAAGTATGAAACTTCCATAAGCTCCCTAGTCACACATTCCAACATTACTATTATCCACTATATTATGTGTTCCTTTGTTGGACACGTAGCTGAGTACTTAAGATGCTTTCGGTTGAGTAAAAAAAGTGAGATACATCATAAAAAAAAAAAAAAGTTGGCTTCCCTAAGGTGCAGATAATAGGGGGCGAGGTGAACACAATTTATAACTAAGAATATCTTGGCTACTAAGGCATTCCAAAACTCCATTCAAAATATTCAAAAAAGTATGTTTAGATAACATCAAACCAATGCTCCATCTACTAGCAGTATATAAACATTTATACTTTCAATTTTTAGCTAACCAATAATAGGCACTTCTCAGGTAGACCTGGTTGGGTCGGGTCAGGGTCGGTTGCGGGTCAGGGTCAAAGAGGGTCACATTTTATAGGGTCGGGACATTGCGGGCCGCGGGTCGATAATGGGCGGGCCTACAAAATATCAATTAAAATAAATATTGGACAAAGCCATTATTAAATACAAATGAAAACAAATTAATCTATATAATTATTTTTACATTATGTATTTTTTTTATCAACTAAATTGGAAAAATATGTTGGCCCTATATTGACCCTACCCAATAAGGGTCCTGTCCATTAATAGCCCTGTCCATTAAAAGCCCTATAAGCTTGGCCCTGACCCTATTATCATTGGACTACCATGTCCAATAACCACTTCTATTCTCAGGTCATGCACTCATCACCTACGTGATTGGGCATTAAAAAAAGAAAAAAGAAAAGAAAAGCATTGCAGAATCATATATGAAGCAATAAAACAGAACAGCAGTACTCAACAGTTCAATTTCTTCCATGATCCCATGACTTAAACATGCTTAACAACGCCAGTAATGAATTGAACTTGCCTACTCTTTTTCAGAGGTGGGTAATATATATGAATCATTTTATATATGAGGAAGGAGAAAATAAACATCATTACCAATCTAATTTTGAGTTGGCATCCAAGGCGAAAGTTGACTCAATCGGTGTCATTGCCTCCTCAGCAGTCTGTTCAGCAAGAAAATAA